GGTTCCATGTCATGCAAATCACTTGCATGAGCATTTTTATGAGCATCTGCACATCAGTATTTATCATGTTCCCCTCGCACCGCCCTCTCAGCTTGTACGGTGCGATAAAGCCTGGACTCAAGCCTCATCGAGGAGCCTGGGAACGATGACAAGGCAAACACAGCAGCTCGAAACAAGTATGTTTGTGCGGAGCTGGGGACTTGCCCTCAACTCCGAGCGCTTGCTTTCTTTGATTTCTCTGCCTCGACTGGATGGAAGTCGGGCTACTTCTATTCTTAGCACCGTCGTCATACCAGTTGAAGGATTTTCATTGCGACTTCCTTGAGGTTCTCCCCAGTCTTGCTCAGCTCCTCGTCATCGTTTCGCTTGACCTCTTGTTCGACGGCTGATGGGCCAAGGGGCCGGGTGAAATTGCCAAAGTACTCGAAAACGACTTGTCGATCTGCCAGATCAACGGCTTCGTTCTCGACATAGAAAAGCAGGACCTGTTCATGAAATGCCAAACTTCAAGCAACAGCTTTACTCTACACGGCACGAAAGCCGCTCACTGCTTTTCCAGCCTGGCTCAGCAGGAGGGCAAAGGTCATCTGTACGAGGATCAGCAGTGCTGCGACCCAAATCAGTGCATGCACGCTTCCTCGGCCATGGTTAACCAGCCCGTGACAGTGAGGCTCTTTTCCTGGAAACCAACCCGAAAAATCAATTCCCAGCAGAAGCGTGAGTTGCATCGCCTGGGTTTTGTGCAGCTCGGGTAACAAAGAAACAAATGTCGTCCAAGTTGCCATACAGCGATGTCGTCATGACTGCAAGGGCATCGAATCCCTGAACAGTGCGCGCCAGCTTTACCTGGTCGTCAACCCGGCAATCGAAATCCCTACTACCACATGAGGATTCTCCTCCTTGACATCGCAGCAATTTCTACGGAAGTCCGAAACCATGGCGTCCACAAGCGACTTCTCTTGAGCTGCTGCTACTTTTCTGATGATAGGAAGAAGCATGGTCACACAAACACCCGGCCGACATCACGGACTCTCAACTCGGCCTCGCATCCTCGCCAACATGACTGGCGTCGCCATGATCAGGGCTTGACAACTAGAAACGCGAGTTTTGAAGCAACAGGTCACCTCACAACCATGCTCAAACCTTGAGCTGAGATTAAGCAGAGAAGCAGACACGAAGGTTTGCAAAAGAGACATGGACCCGGGCATCCCGGGCGGCTCTGAGCACCCGGCCAGGCGAAGCAATCGTGCCAATCGCAGCAAGCGGAGGAGAGACGTATCGAAGGGCAGGTTCTCCAGCGCCCGGTCAGCTATCCAAAGCCACACCAGAGCGAAATCGAACCAGTTCCAGACTTCCTGCATGGTGAATATGCTAGGAAGATGTGTCCGACAACATCCTGCCATGCCGCAAAGGCCGCAAAGCCACGTTCTGCACCCAAACACCATCTTTGCCAAGTCTCCTGAAAATACCTGCAGCGCAAGCCCCAGAGCTTGATGGCGGCTTCGACCTCTGGCACACACAGAAGCAACAACGACGACGATGCAGATATACTGCCACAGCAATAGTAAACGGCAGTAGTGACGTAGCAACGTAATCAAAACGGTGACAGGAGGGCACGCCGTGGCCATGCATGCGATGCACAACTACATGCCGAAGCAGTCCATGACTGCAGGGCTCGTCCGTCATATGACCTTACCACTCCTTGTCGCTCCGCTGCATCTTGCTGGGCAAGGAGCCATGAAGAGAATGCCGAAGGTCCACTCCAGAACATCGAAAACCGTCTTAGCTCCTGGCATGGCCTGCGCACTGCCAGGATCACGATGTGGCGGACACAATACATAATGACAGCATCACTGTAGTTGCCAAATTCAAACACTGTTCGAAAGCCCATCCGTATAAAAGACCGTAGGCATCCGTAGGCCGTAGGTCGACACGTCAGGAAGCAACGAGTACAGTGCATGCAAGTCAAGCGTTTGAAAATGAAGGTGCTGTATAATCAATATTATCTTGTCCCATTGGTGGATGATGGGCTACGTACAGGCTGAAGACTGCAGGACAGCGTGCCCACCAGTGCTGAGTTGTTTGCGAGTTATGACTTCTTGATTGCAATCATGACAATCTTGCTTCTGTTCCATCCTATCTGCACGCCCCAGCTCTCCAGGACCCGAAAGGGAGCTGCCACCTGCTCCGCAGTCTCGGTGAAGTGAGGGTAGCCGATGGTGTTGCCAATACTGACGCCCCGATACTGCAGCTCTGCAGCCATTAGAATCTGAGCTGCAGACTCAACAGGACTGAACAACGCCTGTTTCGTAGCATGCACAAGCCTTGGGGATGTGCTATCAAGATGGTCTTGGAAAACGTCTCTGCTGCCACGAACGGGCTTAATCGAGCTCCTTATGCTGAATTTCTCTTCTTGGGGCCTGACGCAAGCTACACTCGGAGAAATACGATGAGCGAGCGCACTGCTAGTTGTCAATCTGAAGCTCATAAGCACTCCAATGGGCAGCATAACTGCTGGACGTCACAACGAGGTGGCTGATCAGCTTCTCTGCAAGCTACATAAACCAGGTGGCTGCATGTCCCATGATGCAGCAGGCAAAGACCAGCTCGAACAAAGGATGCCTTGCGATCCTCAGCACATCGGAACTTGAAACTTAGTGTATCGGTCTTCCGCTGCTGCTGTCAGCCTGCATGACGCCGACATCAATTTCATGTAACTTCTCAGATGACAGCCTCTACGAGCGTGTGCTTCAGCCCTAGGCGCTTGTACCAGAATCCTTCGTCGAAGTAATCAGCCTTCTGGCTCTTTCTCCTCAGGGTGTTGCTCCTGGGATGACACAGTTGGACACTATCTAACCACTGCTTGGCAACATGGCTATTCGTGATCAACCATACCCTACTCAACTAATCATTATATAAACATGTATGAAAGCTTGGTGAACTGCGTAACCAATACAGTAGCACATTGAACGGCACATTGAATTAGACTTCCATAGCTACTGCAGCGTAGCCCCCAGAGGACGGGCCGAGGCACAGCTCGGATTTCTCTTTCTTGGCCTTCTTGTGCAAGGCCTTCGTCTCCTCCTCGACTTGCCCCGTTAAGATACAATGTAAGATAACACGCCAAGAGGTGTTTTTCATACATAAATACACTACATCTATGCATACTTCCTTGCTCCCAGTTCAATGCATGCTGCATGGATGCACACACAGACATGTGCAACTGTGTATGTGTCTATCTGTCTCTCTCTCTCTCTCTCTATATATATATATGCATATATATATACACACATGTGCGGGTGTGTGTGTGTGTGTTTGTGTATGTGTGTGGTTGTTTGTTTGTTTGCTTCCTCTATGTCTGTGTGTGTGTGTGTTTTCGACATCACCACCACTACAACCATCATTACAAACCGATATGTGTGTATTTCTACCGACATGTGTTTCTAGCCAGTCTATCGATCTATTTATCTGCCTATATACTTAAACACGTACTTTATAACGCTATGCAATCAGACCAGCACCTTAAAGAGTGATCGTGTTGTCTCGAACCGTCTGTTCTGAGACGAATGATTCTGGACATGTGCTCCATGTGCTTGCATGATTTCTCCAAACCATGACTGGCTCGCTGCAGTATCCGCGATAAACGGTACAACTGCGATACACTCTGGGCTTCCTCGGTTTTTTCCCAGAATCTGCCTGAATTAAAACGCCAGTATACAAAGGCGGCTACATCTTGTCCTATTTGGAGGGGTTCTGTTGGCATCGTATCCAAGGACAACCACGTGATTTCCGACCTCCTACGATGCATGACTGTTAGTCTGCTTTCTGTGCCTCAGCCTCCATTTCGGCCTCTGCTGCCACTACCTGCCACAGCAGACAGGAGGCATGCACTTATCTAGAGCATGCCGTGCCCACAGCAGTAGCGATGGACACCTACTTCATACAGGCACGAGCAGCCTTCTGCATCTCTGCCTCTTCTGGATTGGCAGCAAACCTTCAGGCACTTCCGCGGCTAAGGATGCAAACGCGAAGTGTTTATGACAGCAAGCTCTCCGTGTGTCTGCGAAACCCCACCGACCAGATCTTGCCAGGCCACACGGGCTTCTCTTCAGGCGGCTCTTCAGGCAAGGCAGCCGTAAAATTCCTTGCATATCATGGCGCGCTGAACTAGGCTTGCAGCACATTCCAGCGAATGCCTCCGAGGCACATTGCTTTCTGAGCCTCATCAGTGGGCTTGTCCAGGGCCCGCTTGTCCGAGTCCTCTGTCCGTGCAAAGCGCAGAGCCTCCCACGACGAGCCACAAAAGGCAAGACTGACACGTGGCTCTCACCCGACGCTCACCTGAATCACACGACTGGGCCTCCAATGCGCTGGCGGGCCCCCGCAGTTTGCCAACATTCAGCTTGGAGCTCAGCTCCTGTCTGGTCTAAGGGCCCAAAGAGTTCCACGAGCATTGCCACAACGTTCTGCCAATTTCTGGATCCCGTCCTTGAGTAGTTGTTTATGTCGGGTCTCCTTGGCTGGAATGCTCGCATTTCGGAGATCTGCAAATCCTGTGTAGTAGCAGAAGCTGAACTGCAGCCGAGGCTCCAAGTTGGAGCGCTCTGCTGCGAGCTCACTTGCAAACCATTCAAACAGTTCCTCCTTCGGCGCAGCATCAGCCATGGCTGGGCGTGCGCACGCGGAGAACAGTCTAGAACTGCATGGCAGCTGATGTTACAAGCGTGTGCTGGCGGACAATGTCTCGCGATGCTCCAGTGGAAGGGCACGTGAAGTTGAGCTGGAAGGCTGGCCTGGGAACTTCTGAGCCAAATCTATCATGCTTTCGCATGTTGACCGTTGCCTGCTAAACTTGCCCGTGCCCTGAGGCGCAGTTCCGGGTGAATTTGCCAGATCATGTTCATGGACTGGCAGCGTGCATGGATGCCATCAAACTCACACCTTGCCTTGACCACGAGTGGTGCAACACAGCTGCACATCGCAGCTCCGAACGGCACAGCGGCTCTCTTCAACAGCACCTGACCCATCGCCCGTCAGTACTGTCAAACGAAGGATGGAGGACAAGAGCCCTTTGTCGAGTTTCCAATGGAGAAAGCTGCATTGGAAAGGCGCGTTCCGCTCAGCCCTGGCTCGGCACCGTGCTCCAAGCAGCTCGATGGCCGAACTCGCCAAGTGGGGATCCGAGCCGGGCCTCTTAGGGCTGGAGCTGTCGGTTTTATGGAGGGGTCAACTCGTAAGCCGCACTTTAAGCACCCGGCTGCAAGTCGTTCGCGACCACGGGGAGCAGGCTCTCCTTTCCCAATGTCGCGCGACGGAGGCCATGTGTAGAGAGCGGGAGAGCACTCAACTGGTCGGCATGAAAACACTTCTCAAGGAATGCAGCCATTTTTCCCTTGAGAGGCACAAACCCGACACCTCCACTCGTTACTAAATGAAGAATCCTCCATTGCACTCTGGAGCTTCGGGTCAGCGCTGACGCAGCAGCTCACGAGGTCAAGGACCTCGGTGTGTGGTACGCAGCATGGCCTGTTGAGATGTTCGAGATCCGCTTAGCTATCTCCCTGCGTCCAAGGATGTGGCCTGCATGTGCACCATCGGATCCGCTGCACATCGGCGCCAAATCTGCAAGGGAAGTACTGGACTGCGTAGCTCACTAAAAGTTTGCGTAGTGGCTAGCTGCCAGCCTGCACAGTCAAGGGGCACAGCTCGTGGGACACAGCCGCCATGATGGTCGGGCATTGCTGCCAGCAGGGAAGCATGCACTGCTTGAGGAACTTTCTCTGTTCAACCAGACGACTATTGCCAGTCGTTTTTCAGATCGAGCGAAAGCAAGTCAAGAAAACTTAATGCCCCCGACGCAGCAGTAGCCGACGGATGGATCACCGCGCAAGAAATGCGTACTGAGACAGATGCCTACGTGTCCGTTGAATTTTCGAGTGTGCATTGGCTGTGCGAGAGATGTCGAATGGCAAGATGGAAGGTCGCGAGGAAAGAAGGACAACAAGGAGCAGTGACACAGCCACGGGATGCGAAACCCGAGCCTTCCTTCCCTCGGGCCGCCTTTCAAAAGGATCTACTGATTCGTCAAAGCTTTCGCAAACAGTCTCGCGGCAAGGCGAAAACGAAGCGTGAAGCTTGACGAACCTTGCAGAGGCTTCGGGGCATTAATTACTCTTCGAGTTTGGCACGTGTTGTCACCAAAACATCTCAGGGAACAGAAGCTTGCATCGCCTTCACGATTATGCAGAGGCACTCGAGGCACAAATGGAGAAGCTCCTCGGCTCGTTGGAGTGGCAGAAGGCGCATGGCCGATCCCGTCAGCAACTAGGTAGCGACTTCTGATGCTTTCTAATCAGCATCTGCCCTTCTGACTATGCCTGCGACCACGATGGTGTTGATGAGCACGGTAATTATCGTCGAAATCCTCATCACCACCAACACCCCCAGCAGCAGCAGCACCACCACCAGCACCATTGTGACAGTCATCCTTGTTATCGTCGCAGTACCACCCACTCACCAGCACCAGCAGCGAATCGCCATCATTCATTCTTCCCATCCACGACGCTGCAAGTTCGAAAAGACACACTGAAGTATTGAGGTCCTCGTCTGCCTCGCGAAGGAGCGAGCCGAGGGAAGACAGAACTCCCTTTTTCAGGAGCAGTTCCTGGGAGACTGAGAACTGCTGGTGACAGAGGCCGACACCCTATCTGCAGGAAACGTGCCGGAGCGACCTCCCGCAGCTTGTCGTCGTGCATCGCTGTGAGGAAGCGGCAGAAGACGCGGCACGCGCTGGCAAACACGTCACAAATCAAGCAGGCACCCAATCACCCGCAAGCCAGAGTGTTATATGCGTTATGTCATGTACCAATTGACAACTGACTGCCAAATGACAGTAGGCTGCACATCAAGCGGTTGTTTACCTGGCTGGGGGGGACATGTATATGCACATTCATGAGACTGCGAGTTTGTCGCACTCTGCGCCACCTCACACGGACGACCAGTGGCTCGTCGGGGCCGAGGGACTTTGCCGCCGCCTCTGCAAAGCTCGTTCCGTCTGGCTCCAATACGAATAGGTGAACAGGCACCTCCAGAAGGTGAGGGATCTCCTCTCGCACCTGAGACACAGAAGAGACACACGCAGCTACACGCGACCTCGGATCTTCCAAACTCTTGACTCTTTTGGAATGCGCTGCAAGATGCAAGATGCACACTGCTGCATTGCACAGCAGTGCAGCTTTGGCACCGCAGTGCAGCCAGCACCCACGCAATGCTGGAGCAGAGAAGTGACTGTGACAGCTCTCTAGCTGCAACATGATTGTAGGGACAAAGTACGGGCTATTGAGGGCCATCCCGCCGGAAGGACTCCTTTGCTCACAAATGCTGAATCACATGCAGGGGAAGCCACTAAACTGGCAATGTGAAGTACCGCCTGGTATGGCAGACTTCTTTGCCAAGGGTGAGCCTGAAGCTTGCGTCAGCCTTTTTGAGGCCATTGTGTGGTTCATGGTAGCTGTAGGGAATTACTTGCGTGGTCTGTATGGTATGGTCGGCTTCATGTCGGTCTCGTGGCTCAGAAGCTTCAGAAGACGATCACTGCAGCAATCCTGGGCACAGGCGCGCAGCGACAACTAACCCATGTCTTTTGCTTTAGACACGCAGAGGCTTGCAGTCCAACTATGACAAGGAGCAGAATCACAGATGGCCATTCGGGGCTTAGAGCCGCCCCTGCAGCCATGTCCTGGGTGTCAAAGACGATTCCTTCGCCTGCCGTGGCGGGTTGTGGGACATGGACAAGAAGCGTCTCTGCTTTGCCTCCACTGCTTCGATGGTCGGAAACCTGCATGACTCTCTCACAAGCTTCCACTTGCAAAGTGAAGAATTGTGCGGACTGACCTGCACGGCGCGGCCCGTGATAGTGGGCGGAGCAACCTGCATTTATAGAGAAGTACTCACCCTGCTGCCGAGGTAAACACAATCAACTTACAGCACGCAGAATTGCACACAGCTTACTCTGTTCCCACGGACCGAACTCACGCAAGAAGCAGATTAAACATTAGTCTGCATACATGGAACAGATGCGAGCTCTTAAAGAGAGACATGTCGCCACCAGTTCACTGCCCATCCCCGTAACCGATCATTGCAGGGCAATCACTGACAACACTTATCTCCTTCTAAGCATTGGCTGGCAGCAAGCAGCACGGATCCTCAATCACGTGGCTACTGCAATGGGTCCCTATGCAGATCTATGAAGACTGCACAGCAGTGAGTTCTTCCACGCCGGACCATTCTCGCCGTCATCTCAAGCTGCAGGTCCGAGTTCGGCATGCTTGCACTCAGGGTAAGCCAAGACCAAAGCATTGAGACGATGCCAATCGATTTGCAATCGTCTCAATGCTCTTCGCTAGCAACGTCTGGAAAGAGGTCACCGCAAAGTCCAGAGGAGGAGGAACTGGTGCTGCCTGTGGTAAACCGGGCCACTAGCTGCCGCGCATCAGTATCTGTCATTCCGACATGCGTTCGTCACTTCGTTGATCGGCTTCACCTAGCTGTTCCATGCACGACTCCGCATGCTGCGTCTTGCGATACATATCTGTGTGCGCGAGCGGCATAACTACCCCTTGTAGGTGGTCCTCGCCCATTGACTCACACCCAGGTTTAGCGGGGCACGACTGGGAAAACTGTAATCAGTAGTGCTTTTCGGTGCTCTTCTCGAAGGCTGCCCGCAACCAGCCTCCGAGCTAGCCAGAGCTTGTCTGCCACCACGTTGATACGAGCAGCCACTCTTCCATCGACGCTGGCAGCTGCCACTGCAGTGATAGTTTCCAGGCAATTTGGTATCGACTCAATCAGACTCAACGCTCTATGCATCATTGAGCTTTGGGAGCTTTGGGAGACTGAGATGCTCGCCTACCTTTCAGCACCCCCAAGGCATCCCGCCCGGGCCTCCAGCACTTCCAGGGAGTATGGCACCATCTGCAAGCCATTTACCTGTGTCAGATTGATATAATCAGTTAATTCTTCGTTGTGTGTGAGAGTACAGTTTATCAGAAAGCCGGCTAAGCGAAACGACAACCTTGGCAAACCAAGGGGCCCCCTTCGCCAAACGAATCGGACCGAAGCCGAGTGGCTGGAGCGACCGCGAACCCCGATCCGAAACGCGGAGTGCTCCGAAGTCCAGTCCAGTTTGAAGCACACAACACACGAATCACCTGAATCTAAAGGCAGCTCAGTGTGTCTTCTGTGCATACACTCTAAGGCACCAAGACATGATGACATACTATACATATATGCAGCTGTGCGTGTGAGCATGCATATATATATATACATATACATATACACATGTACACACGTTTACGTGCACATGTTTATACATAATTATGTGCTTATATAAACATATTTATGTATGTATATATGTCTCTACATAGATGTATATGTATGCGCAGGTACATCTGTATCTATACACATAAACTTTATAGCATATATATATACACACATGAACTATATAATTACATCTATTATAGGATTTTGCGTATGTGTTGTCTGTCTCTGCATATGGCTGCATCTGCCTTACGGTAAAGTACAAAGCAAAGGGCGCCCCAAGAACACACTGACATGAGGAGAGGTCCGGATGCGGACCCGCTGTGCTTATATTGGAAAGTGTGACTGTGTGTTCAGTGCAAGTCTCTGTGTGTGTGTGTGCGAATTCATGGTGTGTGCAATCGCGTGCGCGTTTCTGTGATGCATGCACGCGCATGAAGACCGCGCAGTCATGCAAAATATGCTTGCAAAAGATAGGGACAGAGGGGATTGATAGCAAAACAGACTGAGAAAGAGGGTGGGCTGAACTTCTTTCTGATGACTGATGACACAAGGCCGCCCATGTTTGCGTGAAGCCGGTCAGTGTCTGACCCACATGCGGACATCTGAATCTGGGTTCTGTGGGTTCATCTGCAGAAATCTTCGGTTGGCCTCAGAGCTCATGAGCTCTGCAATCTCTGCAGGCGTAGCGTGTATCAAGAGTTGCTTGGCCTGAATGCAAAGCATGGTGCCCACAGCCCGGCATGCGGAGACGCCCTGTCTGGGAACTGGGCAACCTCGGCGCGCTCGGTGGCACTCGGGCCTTGCAGTGTCGTGGCCTCAGCTCCCGATCTTGTTGGGGTCGTGTCTCTGTGTAATTATTTTGGAGTCACACACACACAGAGGCGAGACATTCCCAACAACAGCATGGAGAGCAAGTAATGTACAAGGATAGAAGGCTGTCAGCTGCTGAGCTCCTTTCAGAGACAATTTCAACCGCACCGCTGTCGGCTTGTAGCTGCCTGCTAGCAATCCGCAAGAACATGCCCGAGTGCAGCTTTCCCGGTTCAAGCATCCTGGGTATTTGTGGTGCTTAACAAACTCAGCATCTGCACGCAGAGGCTTCACAGCCGCCTGGCATCCACCACGTTCAGCACGACGTGCGTGGAGCTTGCGGGGACCTGCAGACAAAATCATCCAAACCTCAAAGGGCTGAGCAACTCCTGGCCTGAGTTAGAGTGGCCATTGCCCGTGCCAGTGCCAGTGGCACCTTCGAGCGCGAAGATGCTTCACTACGCAAGCTCGGTCGCTGTCGCAGGGTATTCGAGAGGATCGTGATTTTCTTGGTCGAGTTTTGCATGTGAGCTATACTAAGCCGTCCTTGCCATGCATCGCCTTTCTGCCAACATGCTGCCTGCAGTTACAAGTTGCCTGTCACAAAACCCCCCCACCCTACGCCCGCATACAGATTCAACTTGGAAAGGGACCTGCGCATCGGACAGAAACCGAGATGGAGATGACCTTGCAGCATTTTTGGACCATTTCTGTGAGGGATGCACCGAACAGGGCACGGATTGCTCCTACGACTAAGCCTGGGCAAGGCTGTGGGCAGTTTCTGAAAGCCTGCTCAGTCTTCAGGGCAGTGGCACTTGGGTCAGGATCACGCCGGTGAGCGTGACGATATGGACCTAAGGAGTGCGTGGTGCGGCGAAGTCTGCAGATGGAGGGCGACATGCGGTGGAAGACAGCTCCATGTGCTTCTGGCCAGAGCTGGGCACCTGACCGTTGTCGTTGTCGTCGTTGTGCCTGGAGAGAGCAGCAGCTGCAGGAATGGCCGCGAATATCGCTCTGATCTCGGTCAGGGTGCTGAGGGTTGACAGTGTGGCCGTTGAAGTCGTTCTAGAGGTCGTGGAGGTGTTTGTGGTATAAGTCGACGTCGTGTTCCTGCAGGCAGACACAGAAATTCAGATGCTTGGCCGAGGTAGGGGGTGAACGAATTTTCACGGAAACATCAAAACAAGCCAGTTCTGATCTGGATCTGCGCCCTGTGCTAGCTCATTGAGAAAGGGGTTTAGTTCCCCCTGAATTCAAGACCCCTGCGCCCTGTGAGCGAACAGGTCGGCCGTTGGGCTCTCATTTTGAGTTTCCTCCCCTTTTCTTCTGGCTTTATATCACCGTCTCGAACCCTTGCGACAGCAAGGCGTGCGCACCCACCCCCACGATCAAGACAATTCTTCCATCTTTCCACATTTACCCTCTTCCACTTTCGCCGGCCCCTTCGTCTGGCGTCCTGGCGCCAGCTGGGCTGTGCATGTCACGCCACCTTCCTTCACTCCACCTTCACGCCGAAATCTCCCAACCATGGAGCCTGTACATAGGTCGGCAAGCAACGACACGAGGCATTGGATACACAAGGTTTACAAACTTTTCCAGTACGGTGTAGTGCATGGTCAGGTTTTGCTTTGTCTCTCCATCTCTGACAGTGATGCACCGGAACATCTTACTGGAAACAGGAGTCCTGTCCAAGGTTGTGCTTGTTGAGTATGTCGATGTGCTGCTGACCTGAGCCATTTTTGGCTCAAATCTGACCGCTGACTCTGCCGCACTTAGAGTCGAGCTGTTCGAGTACGTGTGCTTGTCGCTGTGGTGTTCGTCGTGGATGTATCCGTAACCTCGCGAATATGCAGCTCCACGGGGATAGCAGCATTGAATGCGCAAACCTGCCACGTGGCTGATGTGGTGCTGGAGGAAGTTGACGTGGTCGTGGCCTGTGGTGCAACACCCAAAAGCGATTCTGACCGAGTAGTGCGGTCAGGTCTCGAGTCTCGGCGTGTGATTTGAGTGGGCCATAGCCGACGGAAGTCCCCCAACCACACAGCCCAGACATTCAATGGCCATGGCTGTGGGCTGAACAGCAGCATCTCGCGTGCTTGCGTCAATGCTTCTGGCCTGCCAGAGTGTGGATGTGGAAGTGGTGGAGGTTGCGGAGGTTGTGGAGGTTGAGGGTACCTGCCATCCCCATAGGAAGCCAGTGGAGGCTTCTTCGAGGGCTTCGTGTTCCTTAGGCTCGGACAGTACTGGTGGTCGTTCTGGTGGTTGAGGTTGAGACCTGAGAAGGTTGGAAGTATCGGATCGAAGGGAGCCATCGATCGCACTCCTCACTTTCTCAGAGTTCCACGTTCGGTGATGCCGACTCGTTAGCTTCACCTGCCCACTCGTGCAGGGCTCTGTATCTGAACAGATAGCCCCGCACGGTCTGAGCCCGAGACCAGATGCATCCGAGAGTTCGGAGTCCGGCGAAATGCTGCCTCAGAGCTCCACTCTTGAGTCTTGGGGTGTTGCTCTCTGTCACTTCCTCATGTTGAGCGCTTGCAGGCTAGGAAGCCAGTGATTCGGCAAGGGGTCCGGTAGGACACGGCATGCCAATGCCGTTGAATGTGCTGACATCTGCCTACCTCTACGGATCTATATGTTAGATCTGATCCTGGATCTTGATCCCCTTGAATCCTTCAAGAAATCCAACTCCAAACTCTTCGACTTACTCGTGCGCCTCTGGGATCTTTAAGCCCCACACCTGCACGGCCAAACGCTTCCATCGAAGTCTTGGCAAAATCCGCAGTGACCTGAGCTACTCGCCCTCTGGCAATGGTTTACATGCCCCATTCCGTGATCTGAAACAGGACTTAAAGGCCATGCTTCTGTGACAGCTTAGGGCCTCACGTAATCGATACACAGCATGAGCACAATGCGTGCCTGAGGAAGTCCATGATCCATCGCACTTTGCAGCAACGGCAATCACTGCGGTTGGGAGCCCGGCCCAGCAATGCATGCGCCGTAGCGCCCCAGGCCTTATGCGTGACTGCTTGACGACCGAATTGGGCAGTGCAATGTCTCCCAAGAAAATGCACGAACGCACCAGCACATGCTACCAGTACAATTCCACTCGACTGGCCGGGCATTTTAACTCCTGCTGCCAAATTCAGAGTAGGTAAGTGTGTAGTGCTGTGCCGCGGCCTCCTCCCGCACCGCTGTCGAAGCAGCATGGACAGCATATGACAGCATGACGTGCTGGACTCATGTCACAACGACTTGGTGGTCGTGCGACAGCATATTTCTGGCAGCGCATCTGCATCGCAAACAACCATGTACGGTGAGTAGACCTGAGCCAGTCCTCAGCATCGAAGAGGGATGCCCCGAATGCCACAGCTTCGACGGCAAGCCTGAAGCCAACATAGCGACCGATGATGCTCTGCTGCAAGAATTTCTTTACTGCATCCCACCTGGCACGTCCCTCCGGCGACAGCGGCAGCGGCGAGACCTCGCCGACCGCGACCGCACGAAGAAGCTCGGACGCTTTGCCGAAAAGGGCCGTCGCACGGACCTCAGTCGGCACCGACAACAGCAGCTCCCCGGCAAGGGAGAGACATGGAAAGATCGCAACGATGCAGTCGAGCCACCTCAATGGCTGAAGAAGCTTCGCGGCTGGCTGCACGCACGAGCTCCACCTCACACAAACAACAAGCCTCGCGAGCGGCGACATGCTTCCCAGATTCCCCTGCTATGTTAAAGAAATTTTGTGCATTGTTGTGCTATGTCAAATACTCCCTGAACACTGTTAGACTCGAGCTCAACGACTGTACTTTAACTTCCTGCCATCCCGAAGGTGCAGGCACAATATATGTTATGTTCTGTGCTGGTATGTGCCTGCTGTTGCGCCGACATTTCCGCCACGTAGGTTTCGAGAGTCCCGACGGGCCCTGTCCTTGCTTGCAGCAGAATCACTGGATCACACTGCTCACTTGGCAGGTCCTATCCAAGAACTCGGCATTTTGAAGCTGTGGTGCCGTGCAGCCTGGTCACATGATGGACTCCAGCCGCAAGCGCTGCTTGGCTCGCCGGAGGAAGTATCCGAAGCGAGCGGCGGCTCCAAACTGCTGACGCGTCACCAGGCGATCAAGGGCCTGTGTCTCGCCACCGATGTCCTCTTGGATCTTGTCTGTGACGTGCTTTGCCGTCTGGGTGAACTCCTCCAGCGGCGCTTGGCCCGCCACCTGTTGAAAATCACGCAAGTACAGCTCAGACTGCCAAAAGGCCCGGCAGATTGGCCCAGGGAATTGCTTGTCTGACAGAAACTCCACCACGTAAGGCACTTCATCCTTCAGCAGACCAGCCAAGGCATCGTCCACTCCGTCCGAGGTTTCCGAGTCCAAGCTGTCTGCTGCTGGTTGGAACCAGGTTTGCAAAGTCTCCAAGGCATTGCTGTTGAGGATGCGCCCGGCCTGAGAGCATCCAACAAAAAGGGAGTGCGAGCCCTGGTTACATGCCTGTTCTGTATCGAACTGTTCTCTAGCCTTGGAAAGCTTCTTTGGCTCTGTTCTCTGCCTCTTCAACACGCCAGGTACTGCCGGCTTCTCCGTAGAGAGCCTCGGAGTGCCGCAGCGCATCCCAAGAGTCCTGCGGCAGGGAAGCTACCTCCTCCCTTCTGCACGAAAGCCTCGAGCAAGCTGATGGTTACACTCCTTTCCCGCAGCCCTCGTTGCTGTGAGTGCCTGGGATGCGGCCGTGTGGAACATCTAGTGATGTGCAACTCGGACATCCGCCACGCTGACACCGCTGCAGCTTTGATCAGCTTTGCTGCTGAGAGCTTGGTCTGCTTTGGCCACAATGGGCTGACCCAGGCCTGAGGAACACATCACAGAACAGGTCTTGTGAAAGGCACGGCTCGCAAAATTTGCCAACCTCTGTGAGTATCAAGCACAGGTCGGGATGCTCGAGCACCCAGCAATACGACTGCAGCGGCTGAGCACAGATTGGCACGCAAACGCAGCCGGAGATTGCGTCGAGCCATTCCAAACACGCTCATGAAACAAGATCTGCTCAACGATGCATTTGTGCGGGTCCACGGCACCAAAAGCTTGTGTTTGGTTGCACAGACTTCTGCAAAGGTCTTTGGTTTCCGTCTGCAGCAGTACTCAAACTCAGTGTCACTGCATCGTTGTCTGAAGGTTGCGCGCATCCACATCAAGCTTGATCCTTTGAAGGCTACGGCGTCTACGGCGGAGTCTACGGGCTACGAGGTTTGAGGCTGCAGACAACAAGCATCTCACGGTCTAGTCTGAAGGCTTGGTGACTGATCTGATCGAATCAGCCCAGCTCCCCGGACCCGAGGTGCGCACCACCTTTGGCGGCCCCGACGCCCGGCGCAGCTTTGAGACGCGCAGTGCGGCGGTGCCGGTAGTCATGCCACGAATCCGCAAAGGCTAGTCGGCTAGTCGCACAGATGTAAGCGGTATCATGAGTAAGTCAAGACTCCATTGAAGCTGTGCGACGTGCGTTCAGCACCGAGATCGGCAAGGGCATGCAAGTGCACAACAGAGGAAGGCTGAGGGTCGCACCATCTGAGTCACGATGTCTCCCAACCGATGTAAGTGCGAGAATGCGCGAGCGCGTAAAAACTGCAGCCAGGAGGACAGTTTTATGACGGTTCAGGGTCGCTCCGAAACACCGGTCCCTCGCGGCCTCCGAAGCGTTCCGGTCAGCGCAAAGCCTCGCAGCCAGCTGCAAGGTGTCGGGAACCTGGCAACCGAGCGATGGGGCCAGCACGGCCCAGCTCCCACCAGTTTTAGAAAGCGGTGTCAGGGCTGCCAAGGGGCCCAGCTCACTCCGCTGCAGCGACTTCACCGTCGCCTTGACCACAACTGTCACGAGATCTTCTCTCTGATGGCAGGTGAACTTGCGAACGCCTCGCCGACCGCTATGCTGAACACGAACAAGCCAACCTGGCACAGGCTTGTTCCTCCGTCTCACAACATGCTCCGTCCGATACCGAGGTGGGACTTTGCCAAGCTCTTGCGGCATGCGTGAACTTGTTATTTGGCCTCCGTCAGCTTCCAAGCAGCGGCATCACCTGCAAACTGCTGCTCACAGGTGTAACTGCTCAAGAACGGTAGAAACCCATGTTGACATGACTTAACATGACCTGGACATGACAAAGCTCTGACAAAGACCATGCTTCAGTGCCAAGCCTGAGCTGCGCCCAGCTTCGCCGCGCTCCAACCTGGGCAACGGACCCGAACGCAAAATTGGAGTGTTCCTTCATGATGTTGCCCTCATGGCAGCTTTCATCCTCCGGAAGGCACACAGCCGGGTTCTCAGATCTCAATGAAAAAGTTACAGGCCGTGAGCCAGCGAACATGCCATCGACCGCGTCCCGAACAAATCCGTGGCGAGCGCCGCCACGGCGCGCGAGGCTTCGCGCCTCTTCCCAAGGCTCTGACAATCGGATGCTCCCGATCACTGCTGGTGCGAAGCCGAAGCTGTAAGTCTCCGTTACTGTAAGGTCCGGGCTTAAAGCTGTCAAGCATTTGGCCCACCAGCCCTTCACCAGAGACGCGTATGGTGCAGCCCCTGGCGCGAGACAGCCCATGACCGGCTTGTGCACGGACTCTTGGGACACGCCTGCAATGCTCGTCCTCCTCCTGCCGTCGGGCGCTTCTGAAGACATTTCCGAATGATCCATTCTTCCCCCTGTCCCTTGCGAGTCCGCCAGTGAGCCATTTCATTGGACACGTACATCTAGTCTTATGTCCTGCACCAGGAACTCGTTTGGGTCAGCTCGCCACGAGGCTGCCTCTTCGGATGGTCAAAGCACTTCGGGCTGTTGTGTCCGGAGTGTCTTTGCTCATGTCGCCCTGGCCTGATTCTCCGTGATGCGCATGAAGGGCACCAGGAGCTGTCAGGAGTTTGACACACGAGTCAGAACCCGACTGCATGCAGGTTCTGACCCAATGAAACATGACAATGCTCCCTCTCGCACAGGACAGCATGTCAGAGACAGCGCCTGAAGCAAGTTTTTCAACCTGTTTTTCAGGAGCGGCTTCAGCTTGACTCGGACGGCCATGGCCTCGAAGGCGAGCGGTGGGATCTGACCCATCACTCAGAGGTAGTCAGGGTTCTACAACACTCGAGCAGCAGTTATAAGGAAGCGTGAACTACAAGGTCATGAGGTCTGATGACAAGACGTCGGCAGGCACGGGGCTTCTTGTTCCTCACCACCATCATCACCATCACCATCATCAGCAGCATCATCAAAGTTGCTCGTGCAGTAATGGCGGTGCCGGTAGCGGTCGGCGGCGGCGGTGGTGTTTGTGGCGGTGGCCTGTGCGCTTATAGTGTTGTTGCTGCTGCCTGCTCCAACCCTGAAGCCTCCTGCCGAACGCAACCTCGCAGAGGGCAGGCGTTTACGAATTGGGGTTCCAGAAACTGAAGTCAAAACCGGAGCTTATCAGCCCGCGCCGCCCTCCGCGCCCTCACCCCCGACTTTTGAAGTACTGCCAAAACCCGGAAACCTTGAAAACACCACATCACCAGCCACAAAGCACGGAAATTGTCGTGACAAAACTCGAAAACTTACAAACTCCAGAAAGAAATCAGAAACTCTGCACAGCCAAAGCTAAAGAAGAACAGCCGGGAACGCGCCCCCTTCCAACTACAGGCTTCGGCATCTTGCTCACTTCAGTGTCACAGCCTGGATGAGCTCCATGGTCTGAGCCACGAAAGGAGCTATGCCACCCTGAAGAGGGCGTCGAGGAAACACTTGGGGAGAAACGAGAATCACATAACATGATGGTAATTAGTGATTATAGTCATTGGTTGATCGCCATATTAGAGAATAATGGTATAGGACGATTGATATCGACATCTCCCAGCAGTAACTAGGTTAGCCGCCACCTGACAAGCGATATGACGACAGCCCGCAACAAAATTCTGTTAGGACTGTTGCATCGCCGCAATGGTTGTTTGCTTGGTATCGCTGCTTAGTGGGGCCAGGGGTGTCGAAGTGTCGTTGCTGTTACGAACGGAATGATGGCTGAAGATGTAAGCTCAAACACGCGCAAGGAGATCCGAGTCGCAAATGCAGGTCAGAAAATGTGACTGCCTCCTCCTCACTCTGGCCGCCGTCATCTGCTTGGATCACAGCCTGGTGCTCTGCTTGTCCAACTCTGGCGAAATGTGCAAAGGCGCAACCAACAGAGCCTGCTCGTAGGCCGGATGCAGGCTTTGTACCAGAAGACACGCTGGTCTGAGTAAGCCCTGTCGTGTGCGACTTGACTTGGCTGCGCCATGAGATTTGGTCGCTTCGTGGCAATCTGATGTGTCTCAGACAACTTCGCACCTCGATGGACTCAGACATGGTAACTTCGAGCTCCGGGAAGCGGCAGAGGCTGGTGACCTGGGACCAAAAAAAGATTTGAAGTGATTTGAAGAGATGCAATGGAACCTGCAATGGAAAGCCGCTGAACCCGGCTTCTCCAAGGCTTCAGCAGCCTGCAGGGCCGTGAAGGCGCAGCGCACCCGCACGGAAGCTTCCCAGCTGTCGTGTCCTTGCGGCTCACAGGGCTTTAGCCTCCGAATGCTTCGGCTTGTCGAGCTGCAGCCGCAGCTGATACCCCTCCCGCATGTGCTGTAGGGGATTGCACGCAAGCAGCGCTTTCTCCGTGAAGGTTTGCATCAGCTGAGACACCTCTGATGTGGCACGGGTGGCCTTCTGACTGCTCCGCCCTCGGATGTGGAGGCAAGGCAAGGCATGGAGAGAGGGCATAGAGAGCAGGCGGAGCAGGGGCGGCCTCTTTGGAGCCACTCTTTGCACAGCAGATGCCAAGCTCATCTCGAAGCTGCGCTCCCACTGCGCCTCCTTCCGACAGCACCATTTACGAGCACACGCAGAGCAACAGGCCCGGCCTCGCGGTGCAGCGGCCGGTTTAGCGCCAACCCCGCCTCGACGGAAGCCGTGGACTTCATTCAGCCGATCTAGTCTCGGAGTCTTCGCTGTGATCCACCGGAGAGGTGCGTGCGGTCACTGCTGGTTTGATGTTTCAGCATGCACGGCTCCCGAATGTCAATGCTGAGAGCTGAGGTCGCGGCTTTGGAAGATGCACCGGGCAGATTTTATTCAATGCCTCTTGCTTCATGCTTCGTCTCACAATGCTGCCACATGAAATGGAACCACCCGAGAGAGAGAGAGAGAGAGAGAGAGAGAGAGAGAGAGGGAGGAGAGCTGAAAGCACAAGGAACATCGATAATTCAGATTCATGTAGCTCTCCTCTTTGAAAACCTCCACGTTGTGCTCCAAGAGCTCTTGGCGATCGAAGCAGGCATCGTCTCCTCGTTTGAATGCGCACACACCCCAGAGGCAGGTCAAGGATCAACATCAACACGTCAGCCTCACAGATTCACCTCCAGGAAAGCATGCACCCCGACACTTCGAAGGATGGGAGTCCTTGAAAGACACAAACCAGTGCCAAGCAGTGGCCGACCTGGACTCTGCAAAGCAACGTTTGAACGGCCTCAGCAAAACGTCTTCCGCTGCTGCACTTATAATTATAAGTGTGCCACATCGACAAAAAACAACAGCACCCATTGTGCTAGATCCGTCTGTGCAAGCAAGCAAAGAGAAACCATCGTCGGTGATTTCCTGTTCGCCAGAAATAGCCAAGTTTGGGAAACATGCGTCTCTACTGCAAGATCCGACAGAAAACTCGAAGCGACAAAAGGTGCGCAGTGATTCGACTCTAGTCTTCAGAGGAGGCATGCTGCAATCAATGCTGGATGTCAAACTCCCTCCCGTTTGTGACGTATCGCCCTCGCTCCTCTTGACATGGATTGACGGTCACTGCTGCTGCTCTCATTTTAATTAAGGCAGTTATGACTGTTATGACGGTGTTCGAGCTTGACGCAGGTGTCTTGATCAATGGCAGGACTGTAGGCAGGGCTTGCTTCGCTTCTGATGCCTCCTTCAGGACCAGGACGGCGCCGTTGTGCAGCTGGAATTCGCATCCAGCATCCTTGTTGTCCTCCAAACCTTGGCGGCAGGCAACACTGCAAGACATTAATGATGTTACAAGAATCTGCAGAAGTGTGCGGCTTTACCAAACTCGTTTCTTCGCCCTGGCCCGCTGGACCTGCGGCTGGGTCTGACTCGGAGGACCGCCGCCCTGCACGCCAAGCTCGGCCGCTGCGCTGTGGCAGCACGCTCGGCGTCGGCATCTTTGGCCTGGAACGGGGACGCCTCCGGCTGTCCGATACCTGATTTCGAATTGGATGTGAACGCGAGCCTCGAGCTTCGCTGGGCCTTGCTTGCGGCCGCTCCTGTCCGACATGTTCTGGCGCCAGTGCTGCGAGATCTTGGGGCACAGCCTCGGGGTTGGGACCCTCAGGGGACCGGACCTGTGTGGCATGCCTTGACCACTCAAACTCTCGACCCGGCCGCCAGCCACCAGCTTTGCTTGCTTTGGGATTGCCGGGCTGCTGAGCCTCTCTTCGCTGGGTCTCAGGCACCTGTGGCTGCTGGGATTGCTTGGAGCGCCTCCTCTGCGGTTGTGCCTGCAGGGGTGCCCGAGCCTTGGCCTTGGGATCCACCTTTTGAGGTCGAGGCTTTGCTTTCGCAGACATGGGGGGTTGGGAGGTGGCTCGGCGCGGCTGCTTGACCGGAGCTGGCTCCTGGAAGCTTGGAATGCGCTCGTCGAGCATCAGTAGCTGTTCCAACTGAAGGACTCTTATCGTAGACTCTGTCGACTCACCACCCAATGGCCCCGTGTGCTCTGGCTCAGTCTGCTTGCGTCGCTTGGACCTTCTCCTGGAGCGCTGCTTCCGCTCCACCGCGTGCCCAACGGAACTGCTTCGCTGTGGCTCAAACCATGCGGTCTCTGGGTCGTAGACATCCTCTGCCATGGCATCAGCCCAGCGTCCTGGACAGGAGAAGCCCCATTGAGAGCTCTGTACAACCGGATCGGCCGGCCCAGCCCATTCTGGGGCTTCATCCTCCAGAAGCTGCTGCACTGAATTCATGACACCGCGGTGCAACTCGCTCTCCCTTTCGGGTTGTTCATGCAACTCCTGGCGCAGGATGGCTGTAGCACAAGGGTGAGTGATATTCAATCACAGAAATACTTCTAGACCTCTAGATTCTAGATAAACAGCAGGGATTGATTGAAAGTGTGGTGCACTGCCCGGCCTCGACTGGCTCGTGTATGTGCGAGATTTGCCTGGGCCATCCCGCCACTGTAGCGCCAGAGCCGGGGAAGCCAGATGCCATGCTTGGAATCAGCTGCGACTCTGTCAGCGCACGCCGGGGCCCCTCGGGGCCAGCGAACCAAACGTTTGACCATTCCGGGGTAGCAGGAAAGGACCTCACCATGCCATCCAAATCCAAATCCTCACTGTGTGCACGGGCATGTGCTGCACCCGTGTCCGGCAACGGCAGAGGCGGCAGCAAACGATTCAGTGGAATCTGCAAAGCCCCTGTGGGAACACTTGGTTGAGGGTGCAAAGGAGGCGTACTTGCGGCCGGCAGCGGCAGGTGCATGGGTGCAAGCGTCAGTCCAACCACCGCGGCGTTCTGAGGTGGGCTCGGCTCTGGCGTTGACACATGTTCATTAGCGAGGGCGAGAGGTTCAAACTCCTCGCCAAGGAAGCTATCCAGCCCACTTTCGAACACTCTGTCGGGGTCTCCAACTGTGGCCGTGGCTTCATTCGCTCCTTGCATCTCTGCGTCTGCATCCTCATGGAAGGTCTGGGGGTTATCGGCCTCTAAAGGCTCTTGCCATTGTGGCTGAAGAGTCCATACTCCGTCGCTTCTTGCTGGGCCTTGCGGCCAGTCTGGCAGCTCATCCGACTGATCTTCTGCACGTGTCCATGTGTAAGTTAAGCCGAATGCTCCCAAAGCAGAAGCCGCGGCCACGGACACGATGAAGACAAACATCGTCCTCATGTCAAACTTGAAGAAGTCCATGCTCGAATGGCAATCACGGCCTGAGCAGGCTTGGGCATCAGGAGCACCAAGGAGCCAGTCGCTCGGACCCATGGAGCAGTCGGACAGTGGTGGCAGGCCCATACGCCAGCGCAGGTCTTCCACCTGACGGGATGAGGCCCTGTCAAACTCAACAGCATAGCCCAGCTTAAGACTAGCTGAGACTAGGTTTCGAAGTTCGAGCTTCGCGGCTTCCAAAGTGCACCTCCTGGTGCAGCACCGTCTCTCCAATGCTTGGCCCATGCTGTTTCCAGGCGCTTGCCAGGGCAGCCTTGGCTTCGGTGAAGCGGCCTTGAGAGGAAAGGCCATGCACTCGAGCCAAGTGGGCAAGGCCAATACGACCTGTACGCTCCGGCAGAGCGCTTTGGAGCTCTTTCAGCTGGTCCTGTGCTATCCAACCTGCCTCAACCTGGACCTCACCTCTCTAGTCTGGCACTGCTGCTACTGGTGGAGTAGGTGGGGTGACCACAGAATTTCTCTGCTACAACTCCAGTCTCACAACTTCATTTCATCGCAGGTCCTTCTGCTCTTGCTGCTGCTTCAGGAGCTGCTGCTCTTGCCTCTTTCGCTCCAGCTGTCCGAGCGCGGAACCTCCAGCCCCTCGCTGTAGCAAGTCGAGGCTTTGCTGGGTAGGGTCTAATTGCTGCTGCAGACGCACTGGCAAGTGGGAAGCTTGTGCTTGCGGTCGGCGGGTTGGGATCTGTTGAGGCTCCCAGTCCCTACGCTGTATATCCTGCCACTGCTGCAGCACGTGTACATGTGGATGTTGCGCCCTTAACGGCTGCAAGGCCAGCAGCAGCCACAGCCATCTCCGGCCGACGCTGCTTAGAGTGGACGCCATAGGCTGGCGCTCGAATCGAAAGTCAATTCCATGGCCGCGCGATTTGCCGCCTTTTTTGCGAGCTACCTACTGCCCTGGATTCGACCCAAGGCAGGACCTAGATTAACTCAGCCTACAAGCCACATAGTGTCCCACTTGCATGAGTTATTCATGTTGTCACTTCAGCTACCATGGAAGTAGATGAACGAACGTATCGAAGAGTCAACAATGCATGTACCTCGAGTGTCATGAAGCCAGGTCTCTTGGCTATTGCCTTGAGCAGCTGTGCTCGGTAGTGCCACGCAATCGCAGACGGGGGTTTGTGCTCGATTCTCTGTGTTGACAAAGGTGAACAAAAGGCCAGACCCAACGTCTGCCTGAGCTCATGGCCATTGCCGTAAATACAGGCGATGTCAATCACCACATCAACCATGTCAGCACCTTCAATGTTCCGAGTACAGCTGCAAGTGTCTATCCACAAGTTGGTTTTTTCACTGCGTAAATGTATGTATGTACGTATGTACCTATGGACGGGTGGAATGTCGGTATGCAAGTATGCAGGTATGAGTGTACTGCACGCACGCATGCATGCATGCATGTTCGCATTAGTACCAGCAATATTTAGTCTTCGAGCTTCGTACTAGTAGTATTCGTGCCAGTAATAGCAGGAACGTAACATCATCAATTATAAGGATCAATACGACTGGCATGGAAGGCTGGGTCGCACACAAAGCTCGTACCAGGAGAGCTCCGAATTGCTCTTGTCCGCGGCCAGGTAGAGCTGCAGGGTTGTTCCATGCACCCGACAGCCGAAGCATTCCCAAGCCGTACAAGTTTGGAGCTTAGGCTTCCAGAGCTGTCTCTGATGTCCAGTCCACACCCAGAATCGGGGCCCTTGCCTTCGAAACGACGTCGAAGAGATAGACCTTCTCCTTCGCAGATCAAAAACCGAATAGTGGATTCATTGAAGCCGAATGACATCTCTTGACCGAACAACCGCAGCAATCAGTCCATCCGGGTGTTCTGACTGACCGCTTCCAAACACTTCCTGGCGCTCCAACAAAGTTCAATCCATGCACGTTCCGTTTTTCAGGAGGAGATGGAACGTGTTTCGCGTTTCCAAGCTCATCTCCTTGACTTTGGCTTTTGGAACTTTCCGAATCTCGGCGATTCTTCGCTACCATCGGTATTCGGGGTCCCTTGTAAGCCTTGAGGGCAAGCCCCGGTTGCATCGGTGAGAGACTGACAGAGCTCGTGCCGAGAACCAGCCCCATATTTATCATCGCAAAGACATGGCGGCAGCACTCCAGGGTAGGCCTCTCTAGTATCAGCTTCTGTACGACTTGACTGAAGGCCTGGCAGCTCCAAGCATCTCGAAGCCAGATCCAGACCTAGTTGGCTTGAACTCTGCCTCGAAGACCGTGTGGTCGTAAATGCTGGTGCAGTGGAATGAGATGCTGGCTTTCTCCTGCTGCCACCACACAACTGATAATCTACGTGACCCACCAGAGCTCAGCATCAAGCCTTGTCTGACATATCTTCGGTGAGCTTGTCTTCAATGGCCTTCTTGCACTCCTCCTTTCCTTAGCTCAGCGACATCGACGCGCAACCAGAAACGGGCACGCACGCCGATATTGGTTGCCTGGGAGCCGAAGGCTTACTTTAGCCGCAGACTCGCCTTTAGTAGCTACAGACTGTCTGGCATAATGCACGCCTTGCAAACGAATAGTCAATAGTCAACATGCTCTCTGCTACACCTTCTGGGGGGCGCAGCACTGCTGAATCACCTACATGCCTCAGCTTTTGGGAAGCCAAACTTGACTTTGCTCGAAGACTCTGCCATCAGTGTAGAACTTGGCACCGTCCACCTGCCGCAGCTTCGGCAACTGCAGGTCTTGTAGCATACGACACTGCCTTGTCTTGTTCATGCCCATAGCCTTGTGCATCAACACATCGAAGGTGACATCAGGATTTCGCTTGCACGCAAACCTTAGCGTCAAAAGACCTCTGCAAGTCAGGCGAGCATCTGACACCTGAGAGCCGTGCTCTATCACACGCCTCGCCTTCGTCACACTCGTAGTGTAGGCTTCTTCCTGCTGAGCCTCTGGAGGCTCATGAGAGGCAGCAGAGGGTCCAACATGTCGCACTCTTCTGCACAGCTGCAGTAGCCATTCTCAGTGGATGAAGAATGATGAAGACTCATCCACCGTGACTGAGATGCTCACATCAATGACGAGCACAACGGCACATTGTCCACCTGAAGCTCATGCAACGTAAAGTTCCGAATTGTTCGTCCTTGCATTCCTGACCCATACTAATTTAGCAGGAATGCAGACGAAGACATGCATGCGTGTCGGTGTGGAGAGGCATGCGCACATGCGTACGCGCATGCTTACGCCCGCGCGTGTATGTATACGTGTTTCGCGCGAGTGTGGAGACCTCCTGAATCAAATAGGAGTGGACCAAGTCAGCTACCATTCACCATACTGCATGGTATGCTTTATAGCACCAATTTTACGGCACGAATACAACCCCTTCTGCCCCAAGACAGTGGTTTGGCAACAATCCCGGTAAATGAGGTGGTATTGCGGTCCACTGAGGCTGGCTTCTCGTCTCTTGCAGCCCTAACCCTAGTCTGCCATCTTCGGCGGCCTACGTTCGGTTGCCTATTGCACGACCTGTCACTGTCGCACTTGCTAGTCAGCACTGCGCATCACTGCGAATCATACATTAGCTGTTTTTGAATTAAATTGAAGATCATACATGTCAATGTCCTGGCGTGTGCACTGACTTTGGCACCCTGCCATGTGATGCCAAACCACGCACTTTTATTGGCAGACAAGCTGCTGAACACGGACGCATCCAACGGATGAAGGCTGAGAGAGTCATCAAGCAGCAGGTTGCCAGGGAAGTCCACCAACTGACCACGAAAGCAGGCTTTTGCTGTGAGGTGCTGAGGTGCTGGATGTCGCGTCTATTTTGCGATACCACTTCTGACCGCGAGTCTAGCGATGCTCCAGCGTCTGGTCGGAATTGCCCAGAACTGGAACGGGCTAGCACATGCTAGCACGTGAGGCATGACTTTACTCTTGGCCATTCGGACTCGTACGGCCAAGCACTCAGCAGGGGGGGGCCTTCAAACGCAGAAGAGAATTGTGCACGATGGTGAATGTCTCCAACCTGCAGCGGGTAGAGCTTCTGATCTGTAGCGTCTGAGAGAACATGACGGAAGGCCGAGGACCTAAGTTGATGCTCAGCGCGCTCATCGGGCCCTGGCTTGATGCCCGATTCGAGGAAAAGTGATTCGTGTGGCGAAAGCTTCTGAAACCTGAGCACTGCAATGACATTGCAGAGTCTCCTCGAGTTCAGGTCGAAACCATTCTCTCGCTCTCATAGCACCGAGCAGTTTTCACCCTGAGCTCCAGGCACCACTTTGCTGATAGACCTCCGAAACACGGGCTCTAAGCTAGGTCTAAGCTAGGTGCGCCAGCGAAGGTCCAAATTCCAGGATGTCTTCCTACCGGACACCGAGGTGCCAACGTCTTCCCACATCTGGGCAGCCCGCACATCACCACCTGCCCCGACGAAAGCGGGGGCTGTACGACTTAGGCCACTGAAGGCAAAGCTGGCGAGCAAAGCCGATTTCCACGTACATCACAGAGCTGTTGGCCCTTTCCAGACTCGAAGCCGATCAGGCTTGTAGAAGCCTTGCCTTCCCGACATCTTCGGAGCTCATGTTCCTTGACAACCTCGGCTCCGAATTGTCTGGCTTACATCCTTCGTCGCTTGAGTCCCAGGGCCCGACTGCCAGTCAAGAGGATGGCACGCAAGCGTCGCAGGGTGTGCTTTGCAAAGCTCTTCTAATAAAGCTGTTCTGGCTTCGTGCTTGCGCTGCCTTCGAGTACGAGTCTGGCTGGCTAGCTCTGCATCCATGGGTTTTGCTGATGCCCGCGGGGAGTTTGCAGGTAAACAGCACCATTTTCATCTTGCTTTCCGCTCACGAAGTGAAGCTTGGGAGCAAATGCTCTGGTCACAAGCTCAGAGAACACCAGTCAGCAAGATTCATCGGCTAGAGACAAAGAGCTGAGATAACGGTCTAAGCCGCGTCCCGATTGTAGGTTTCATGAAGCCCTCAGGTCCTTCGCAAAGCTTGCCATACACGGTCAGCCAGGCAGGAAGAGCCGATAGCACCGCATCCTGAGCAGCCTGGCATGGTTCGGACGTGATGGGAAGTGCTCGGTGCACTGGGGGAGCTACTCTGACAGCTACATCTGCAATATCCAGTCTTGACAAGAGCATAAACTCTAGCAGAAGCATCGTCCACTCGAAAGAACAGAGCAGCAAGCAACAGGTCGGAGAAAATGCGGAAGAGCCCGGCGCTCGACAGCTGTTGCACTTCTTAATTTTGACTGCTTTGGTGGCTTCTTTTGATTTTGCTCGGCTTGAGTTACTGCTCCTCGTTGCTGAGATTGGTGGTGGTCGTTGGGCTTCGCATCGACTGCTTGCTGGGAGTGGTCGCGGGTGGTCATGACAGTGATCGGCCTCGTGGTCCTCTTGGTGCTGGTTGGTGGTCATCGTTCGGATTGTTCCCGGTCATCTTCGTCGCCTCCGCGGCGTTCGTTGCCTTCGTCGTCTGATGGTGCTGTGGCAGCAATTTAGGGTTGTCCGCATAAACCATCTTAAGCTTTCCTGGGAAGAAAGCTGCACACACTCAAAAGGCATCAAGCTCTGCGATGGAACCAAAAGCCACACCATGATGGGACACCATGTCGCCACAAACCAGGCGGATGCTTGTCAGTCGTCCTAATCTATGTCTCTCTGCACCGGCCGCAGGATGTCGAATAAATAGCAGCGTGGCAGCCAAGGTATTCGCACAGCATGTGCTTGGCTCTCGCAAGTTCGCACACTTTACAACGAAAGCCTTGAGCTGTTGCGTTGAGAGGGCTCTTGCCGACTCGTGATGAATTTGCCTATGCTTGGAGTTCTTTTGCGCGTGTCGAAGAACATGTTTGCACTGCCACTGCCGGCTCTGGTGGCGATGTCGGGCTTTGCCTCGGGCGGAGAGGCCTCCCATCTTTCCGTTTCGTGGTCTCCATTTGTCTACACCGAAGCGACCAAGGCTTATGCTTAGACTGGGTTGGGCTGAGCCGCCAAGCAGAGACAGCGCCCAGACACCCTATGCTGGTTCCTGGAGTCACGTGGCTAAGCTGCCAAGCTCACGCCTCTGTGACTAACGGGTGGTAGATGGACAGGCATGGGTCCCGTCGACGTCTGTAGGACAGAATGCGCATTTGCAGCCTCTCCCAAGCCGGAGGCCAGCTGCGATGTGACGCCTCGGCACTTTTTACGGCTGATTCACACATGGCAAGGGGAGAGCAAGAAGATCAGCTCTGCCGCTATCTGGTCTCATGTCGCGTGTCGGTACCCCCCCCTCCCCCCACGGTATACACCCGAAATCTTCGTGAGGGTTGTCACTTTTGTCTCAAAAGTGCCAAAAGTCCCAGGGACGGGCCCCCCGAACCTGGGATCCTCGTGAGTGTTGTGACTTTTGAAGCTATGCAACTTCGTGTCGTGCCCAAAGTGGCGACACTCACCTGGATGGGCCACGGTTTCGGTCTGCGCCACGCCCAGCTGCTGACCCTCAACCCTAAACCGTTTCATATCTATAC